GCATATACATGCAATCTTTATTTAAGGTTTATATAATTAATGTATTGGTCATTTCATTGTTTTGGGCAGTACAGTAATGTTTGTGCTATGTATATTTGAGTTCTGTTTGTTGGGGCAGCAGTAGCTCAGGTGGTAGAGCAGGTTGCCTCATGATCGGAGGGTCATGGGTTTGATTCCAGCTCCCGCCAGGGGCATCCTGCTGTTGTGTCCTTGGGCAAGACACTTCACCCAACTTGCCTGTGTTAGTGGTGGTCAGAGGGGCCGACGGCGCCAAATGGCAGCCTCGCCTCCGTCAGACCTCCTCAGGGCGGCTGTGGCTACAAGTAGCTTACCATCACTAGCAGTGTGTGAATGTGAGAGTGTGTGAAAGCGTCTTTGGGTGTTTAGAAAAGCGCTATATAAGTTCAATGCATTATTATTAAAAGAAGAGACTGATCTGTTTACACCACCTGCTGGTGGATTAGGGAAAAGACAGGCTGTGTGAAAAAAAGAGAGGAAGCGAAGAAGAGAAAGAGGGAGAAGGAGGAAGTCAAGGGGCAGCGGCTAGCTGCATAAGTGAGTTTTTCTATCCTGCTGTTCAGAAATAAAGAAGGATTATAAAAGACAACTGTAGCTCATCTTCCATGTACCCCAGAGAGCCGGCAACCTATCTACAAATAAGGGTTACGAACATAAGCCGGCTCGTTGCAGCGCTCCACCATTAACTATGGTGACCGCAGATCAGGAAGAGCAATTTCACGGAAGCAGAAATTGAGGTACTTGTGGGTGAGGCGGAAAAATCAAAGGAAGTGCTTTTACAAAACAAATAAGAGAAAATCCACAGAGTGGCACAGCGTTGCTGAAGCCGTCAGTGCTGTGAATTCTTCTGAGAGATCTGTGGCGGATATAAAAAAATGGTCCGAACTGAAGGTGGAGGCAAAAAAAAAGGATGTTTTGCTACCGCCAGAGTGTGTGGCACCTCTGATCCCCCACCGCTCTCCGTTAGGCTCTCAGCAGTACTCAGACCAGAGACTGGTAACGTTTACACCTTTTATTAATACAGATCAAATGTGTCCGTCATGAAATATAAAACAAAACCAAATCTCGTTTCTCCCCCAGCGACTCTGGACGAACCGTCCAACGAGGCGTCCCAGGCGGCGACCAAAGATGTGGCTGCAGGGTCGGCCTGTCCCACCAGTGCGATTCGGGCGCATGACACACCTGGAAGTGGCCGGGTGCTAACTGACGCTGTCCTGCAGGCACAGAGGGACTTGATTGGTGCGGTGAACGAAGTGCAAGAAGAACTGCACAGAATATGTGATGTCCTGACTGAAATTTCAGGAACACTTAAAGAACTGGCAAGAAAATAAAAGATGAAAATCATGCCTTCTGAGTTGGTTCTATAAATTACGTGTGGCAGGGTGGAGAAGCGAGGGCCCGGGCAGGATCCGATCGTCAGACTCCCGGGTGAGAGTCACACGGGCTGACCAGTCAGCCAAATGGACATCCCAAAGGGGGGATTGTTCTGTGTGAACATGAAGCAGTACAAGTGATAATGCTGCTGGGATTCAAAATTATATCCTTCTCAACAGCAGCACTGCAGGTGCTCTCCATGTCCAACATGTGCGTAACCCCGGGTTTCCACGGGAGCCGTCAGCAGCACGTTACTGCAGCAGCATGTCTTGCTCACGTAAGCTGCTGCTAGGCCCTTCCCACGAGACGCGAAGCAGCAGGGGAGCAGCTGTCACCGACCGAGCACGAAGTCACACGAGTGACTTCGTCAGTAAACACAACAACAAGCAGGAAAAAATTACAACATGGTTTGTGTTTTATGTTCTGTCCGTTTTATAATCGCCAATACGGACCTGAAAAACAAAGGAGACCGCTAGCTAGATGATAACCTCACGGGGATGCACAGTTAGTAACCTTTTTTAAAAGTAAAGCAACCGGAAGGCAGTACGTTCTTTATTCTGAAAATCTCTGTAGCTTCTCTCCATTTCCGCGTCAGATTTCCTGTCTTTCCTTCCCCAAAAATGTCGAACTTGACCCGTTTCAGAGGTGTCGCGTGTAGAAAATAGAACCGGCGCTTAAAGGCCGCGACATGCTGCTCCTGAGACGTGGCCGACTCGCGCTGCTGACGGCTGCCGACGGCTCTAGTGGAAAAGGTTCTGTTGACCACAGCGGTTCCTATCAGCAGCTATGACGTGCTGCTGCAGTAACGTGCTGCTGACGACTCCTGTGGAAAGCCGGGGTGAGCCAGGTCCTTAGTCAACTTAAAGTTGTGCATATTTTTCCGCTAAGTTTTCCTTTATGAATCATAAAGTTTGCGTGGAAAGTTGCTCACGCAGTTTTCCGACCCCATTTTGTGCGTAAGCAAGCTTTATAAATGAGGCCCCTGGTCCTTGGTGATTAGCAGGCTGCTACAGAGCTTGATGAATCAAAACGAGGAATTTTAATTGGAACCAAAATTGTTCCAGTTCTATTGAGTCCCAACTCGACTTGTAAGAGTGGAGGGAGGGGTGCACAGGTGGAATACATTTTGTGTAAACATTGTAATTTGAATGAAATTAGTGACTGCAAGGTAGTGGTAGGTGAGAGTAGTGAGACAGCATAGGATGGCGGTCAGGATGAAACTGATGCTGAGGAAGATGAAGAGAATAAAGGCAGAGCAGAGGGGCAGGTGGTTTTGTGAGGGAGGAGGTGCTCCCAGATGACTGGACACATACAGCTTTTGTGATTACAGAGATGGGTAGGAAGGTGTGCGTGTGTCATCTGGAAGGAGTAAAGTAGATAAGGAGACTTGGTCAGGAGCCTACAGAGGAAAGAAGTTACTGAGAGGACAGAGAATATTAAACAGGAGCAGGGCTGGAAGATATGGAAGAAAAGCATATTGATAAAAATATCATTATATCAATAATTGTTGAAAACTACTAAAGTAAATGTAGAAAATATGTCTAAATGCAACTTCGGCCATTTTATGCAATTCCTTTATTAACCCAATTGAATAAAGAACACACAAAAACTGAATTAATTTCAATACTTTATGTAAACATCTTTATTTTACAAGTGCTGAATGATTTCAGGGAAAGACTGAATTACAATCTTTTTTCCAGCAGAAATAGCGAAAGTGAAAAGGAGAAGATTGTCCCTAACTGGAGAAGTTTTGGCATCAGCAGCATTTACATTCACAAAAGGAGAGTAAAAAATAAAGATCAAAGATAAAACAAGAACACAGTATGCAGAAACACATAAAAAATCTAAATACTCACACTTTCACTAAATTTAAGAAAGGGGTAGAAATTTCCAGAAAAGTGTCAAGTGCACAATGAGAAGATGGAAAGAGTAGCTTAAAGAGCTGATGAATGAGGAAGATGAGAGATTGTAGAGTAGGAGAGGTGACTGTTGTGGATCAGGAAGTAGCTGAGATTAGTAAGGATCAAGTGAGGCAAGCTTAGAAGAGGAAAAAGAAGGAAAAGGCAGTTGGATCTGAAGACATCTGTGGAGGTAGTTTCTAGGACAGCGTCCCTCAATAGGCGGCCCACGAACCGGCGGCCCACGAACCGGCCTGCGAACCTCCTACCTCCTGTTTCAGGCCCGTGTTCAGAAGCTGCAATATTTTCATGTCTGAGGCAGCGCGACTGCACATCCACCCGGTTCTCTCCAGCGGCAGCTCTGCGCATCTCAGTTCGCAGCGGCGCTTGTATGCTGTGCGGCTGCCAGCTTGTGGAGGTCTTGGAGACCTCTGTGTTCCACCCGGTTTTACCCAGCAGTCAGCCCGTCATATCTTTTGCACAGTTAACCGGTTGTAGCTAGGTTGCTACCTCCGTTAGCTTAGCTCCCACCTCCGCGTTAGCTTTGGGTTAGCTTCAGGTTAGCTTGTAGCTAGTTCGACAGGGTGTCGTCAGTTGATCCCAGCCTTACAGCCCCACCGTCAGCTCCTCCTCTCTTCCCTTTTGTGGAATTGTCTGGGCTTGACGGAACCTGTGATTCGGTCAAAATGGTGGTGGTGGCCACCTCCCATTTTAGCACAAAAACGTATTATTGGAGTCTATGGAAACCCATTGTCCATATATGTATGTTGATGGTACGAACATAAATAAAATGCGATGAAATCATCTTTTGAAGCTGCAAGCAGGATTTCGGTTACATCTGAGTCAACAGCAAGAAGCAACAGAATACTCCCGAAAAGATTCATGGAATTTGGGGAAACACACGAAGCCTTTCTCTGATGCAGAAATTATAAAATAATGTATGATTGAAATGATGGAAACCATGTTTGAAGGCAAACAAAAAGAGGAAATTACTGCTGCAATTAAACAAATCCCTCTCTCAGACAATACAGCAGCAATTCAAACAGAAATAGTGGCTGGTAATCCACCGATCTTACTGATAATGCTCAGTTGATGGTGTTTGTGAGGTATTATGATGAGACAAAGAGGGAGTTTGTTGAAGATGTGTTGGGCCTTGCAAATCTCTGTGGAGAAACCAGAGGGGAAGATATTTATAAGGCAGTACTGGAAATGCTGAATGAAAAAGGAATGGATTGTGTCAGTTACTACTGATGGAGCTCCAGCTGTGATGGGGGGAGAGAGAGAGAGAGGATTGGTTCAGTGCCTCAAAGTTCTGCACCCTCACCTGATACCATACCACTGCATCGTTCACCGGTCTGTTCTTTGTGCAAGCCTTGGAGAAGTGTACTCTGACATCATGGTTACAATAATGAGACTCATTAACTTCTTGAAAGCATCATATGCACAACAACATCGCTTGTTGCGTGCATATCTGTCTGAGGTCAATGCAGCGTTTGATGATTTGCTTCTGCACGACAGCAGCCAATGGCTGAGCAAAGGCAAGATTCTGGAGCACTTTTGGGCTATTAGAAGTAAACTCCAAATGTTTCTATTAGAGCAAAAAACTGTCAAAGCAAAAAAGTTCATGGAATTCCTGCAAAACCCAGAAAAATTGAATCTTTAGCATTTTTGACATATATAACATCTCATCTCAATGATCTAAATCTGAAGCTACAGGAAAGAACAACACAGTATGTGAGCGGATGTATGCAGTGCGGGCTTTCTTCAAAACTGACCTACAGGTGAGTTGTTTAATATTTTCTACCACATGCACTTTATCTCGATTTTACTTAAATATTAAAAGAATAAATATAAATTCTAATTTTTTCTAAACAAAGACCTTCCTTTTTAATATGGACCACCAGGAAGAACTGCTTCGCTTCCCTAAACTTCTGGAACAAGCCAAAGGAAAAGGAGACAATCATCAACATGCTGCACTTGTGGATAAGCTTATTGAAAACTTCAAGGTTCAAAAACTTTTAAAATGATCAGACATCCCAATTTACAATTAATTCAGTACAAAATTCTACACAGAGTACACTATACAGGTCATCGGGTGTTCAAGATGGGGTTTGTGTCATCTGACACCTGTACACACTGCACAAACAACATTCCTGACAAATTACATCCACACACTGTGGTCCACCTGTCCAGGAATTTTGGGGTAGAGTATGTGAAGACCTGTCAAAGTCTCTGAAATGTCATATCCCATCTTCCCCCTCTCTTTGTTTACTGGGAAACCTGGACGATGTCCCGATTGAAACATCTTTAGTTCACTTGGTTCTGACTGCCATATGCATCGCTAAGAAAACTATCCTCATGAAGTGGAAAAATAGAGATACTCTTTGCATTAACCAGTGTCATATTACACTTGATACAGCCTCTGCTTCCACTTCAAATCAATCTCTCTGGGCTCCTTTGATCGGTTCCATCACATAGCGATGATGGTGGATCATTGATATTGTCCCGCGGGATGATGTGGGTGATGGGGTGGAGAGTCTGAGTTTGGAGTATCCGGACGTTCCCTGGAGGTGGGTTCACTGGGGGGGTGTCTGGGACTGGGGGGGCCGCTGCCCCCCTCTGGAGGTGCTTGAGTTGCCTCGGGGGGTGGACTACTGGTGGTTGTGAGTTGGGCCCCTTGGGGGTCTTGGCGGTGGCCATGGGTCGCTGCCTGGCAGCTGCATTGCCCCTGAGCGGGTCTGGGTGGGGGCCTGGGGGCTCGGGGTGTGGGGGTGGCTGGCCCGGTGTGGAGATCTGGGCGGGGCCTTGGGCATCGGGTCCTGACATATATGCTGCTGGGAAGAAGGCAGGAACATGCCAGTCCAGGCTCAGGGGCCTCGGGTAGACCTTGGCTCCTCTACTGTTCCATCACAGGGGAGGGGGATGTCCAGGAGGGGGAGGACCCAACCTTACCTGGATGTCCCATGTCTTATATATTCTGGAAGTTGTGCAAATGCAGGGATGGGAGTAGATATTCTGCTAGGGTGGGGTTGGGTTGGTGACCTCGGACTCCGTGAGGCTCTGTGATGCTGCTGCTTTGGGCCCTGGCAAGATGAGCTGGGGTCGCTATGCCCTGGGTGGCATTTTGGCAACAGAGGTGCCTATTGGGGCCAGTGGGGGAGCTGGCTCCCTGGAGGGCTTAAGTCCAACCAGCCATTCCTCCCCATCCCCAAACATTTTTTCTCCTCCTGCACCCTCACATCATCACACAATCATGCACATAAGACCTTGGGGGGTGGAAAAGTCAGGGGGTGCGGGTATTCAATTCAATTCAATTCAATTTTATTTATATAGCGCCAAATCACGACAAGAGTCATCTCAAGGCACTTCACATAATAAACATTCCAATTCAGGTCAGTTTATTAAGCCAATCATGATGGACCCCATTTCTGCATTCCTGTGGCAACCTGCCCCCCAATTTTATTTGCACCTTAAACACTTCCACCAACGACATTCCACACAAACACACACTTAGGGCCTTGGGAGTGAGCACATTCAACTGCATTTGGCAGGGGGATTTTTCAGCCTCATCCCGAGTGCTGGTGCCCACTTCCAATTTTAAACTGCACTTAGACACTGAGGGCTGTGGGTGTAAGTGGGGAATTGTAGTGGCATCAGCTGGCATAGGTCAGATGATGCGTGCACTCCCCGCTCACCACAGCCATGGAATACACCTTATCAACATGCACTAACACTATATTGGAGCAGGCAGAGGGAGACTATGGGTCTTAGCACACCTCTGTTGTCACTTGGCTTCCCGGGTCTGGAGGCTAGGAAGGAGATCTGGCCGTCTCGTTGGGGTCTGGGGTGGTGGGTTGCTTTGCTCAGCGTTGGGCGGGGGAGCCTGCTCATCAGCACCCCAGCAGAAAGGATCGAACTCTGGGAACCGGTAATGGTTGTACCCCATGTGCAGTAGTACTGGGACCAGAGTGAATAGGGTGTGTATGGGGAGCATGAGTGGGTGTCCAGCGTACATTTTTGTAAGTCTTTGGTTGTATGTGTATGTGTGAGCATAAGGGAGGGAGTGTGTGACTGTGTCTGTGTATGACTGTATATGTCAGGTGGGGCCTTTGACTCTTCCCTTGTCCTGGGACTTCTTTTGATGCTATACATCTTCGTCTCCCCTCCCCCTGCCACACCTGGTGTGGAGTGTGGTGCCTTGGTCTGCCTGAGTGTTCATGGCTCCCGGGTCAGGGGGTTTAAGATTTTTGGTGTCTGCCTGATCAATCCCGGTGGCTGCCTGGTGGGATCTGGGTCCCTGGTCTCTGCTGGGTCCCCGGCCGGGGTGGTCGCCCCTGAGTCCCGGGTTGCTGGGTCCCGGGCTTGGCCGGCTGGGGGGTGGGAGGCTGTGGGCGGGCCTGTGGGCTTGCCGCTGATATGTCCCGGGACTCTGCTGGTTGTGAGCCCCCCCCGAGGCGATCCTCTGCACCTTTCGAGGGGAGCAGGGGCTTTTGTGGTCGCGGTCTGCTTGGGGTCCCTGTGCTTTGGGGCAGCTCCTGGATCTCTGGGACTTGGAGCTCCATCCATCTCCTATGTATCTCTGGGGGGCAGATCCGTGGCCCCTTAAGACCACATGTCTTAAGGCTGTAGTTGGCACTAAATGCACTGTGATTTATTATCGTGTGATTGTTCAGTAAAATATTGGTGATTTTACATTTCTTCAAGATGACACAGTGATAGCTTGCTCCTGTTGTATTGTGTGTCCCTTTTCTGCAGGTCTAGAAGCAGACTCTTGTTCACCATTGATTGTTTATTTTCGTGGGAGAGAGAGAGAGAGAGAGAGAGAGAGAGAGAGAGAGAGAGAGAGAGAGAGAGAGAGAGAGACACTGTCTGCTCACACACGAGAGGATCGGAGGACGCTCCTCCAAACCGTTGCTCCAAACACGCGTTATTATTTTCATAATTTATTATTTCTCCTGGAAGCGCTCAGTCAGACTGCTTGTTGTAATGTAGGGAGATCCGGTCTTGGGGAGGGGGCGGGGTCAGTGACGGCGGCTGCAGCGTGATCATCTGTCTCTTTTATTTAGGGACACGGAGAAATTAAAAGGAGAGAGAAATAGAAGTTCCACTTTATTCTTTTGTTTCATGAAGATAAACTGATGTTAAATTCAGTTTAAAGAGAAACTGGGAGGAAGCTTTGGTTCATTTTAGGTTACAGGAGATCTTGTTTCCTATCTGCTCCTCCAGAGACAGCATGGACATGAGGGTCACATGGACATGAGGGTCACACAGGACAGGTTAGTGGAAAGAAGTTAGCTGGTTAGTGAAGGAGATCCATCAGCTGGGTAATTTAATCCTAATCCAGCCCACAGCCTTCTGCTGGAGTTATTATCAGAAAGAATAAAACACACATCTTAAATATTATTGGAAGTGTAGAATTTGTTTTATGTTTTATTATTTTCTGCATGAAACAGAACTTGATTCATTCTCCAACATTTCAGAAACGAACCACTGGGTTCAAATGAAACTAAGTCAAACATTTCATTTGGTGTTATTTCTGACACCCTTCAACTGTGGCATAAATATTTGACTCTAGAGCTGCTCAGAGACATTAAACACTCATATATGAACCCATTATGTATTTTATTATTACATTATGTGTCCTGTAGGTTTTCAGTACTTTTTTAGATTTTGTGAGTTTTTGCAAAGCGTGTTTTCTCAGCCTGAGGCGTGGTGTTGAACGAGGACACAGATGTTTTACTTTGTTAAATCTTCTTAAATGTTTAAATGTTTTGTCCTAACCTGTTGTGAATGGAGAGCTTTTGAGGGATGGCAGGTTGTGTCAGTTACGTTTTAGAAAAAAATGAAAAGCAATTATCTGACATCTTCTATTTATCGATGAAAACAAATCAGTATGAAATAATCGTGATGCATCGTGATGCATCGGGATATCGAATCGAATTGAATCGTTGACCCAATAATCGTAATCGAATCGAATCAGGAGACAAGTGAAGATTCACACCTCTAATCATGGATGCAATTTTTCTCATTAAACAGTGATTGACAGAACATAAACCACTTTTTCTGCCCTTTAACGCCTGAGATCTTGATTTCCTCACTATCAAACAGTTCTGAGAATGGGTTGATTGAATTTGTTAATTTAAAAGGCACATTTGATTTTTGCACATATTTTCTCAAGCTTTGTTTGGAAAGAAATAATTTCCTTAACCTCTTCCCTATGTTGTTTTAGATTTATGACAGGGTTTTATTTTTAGTTTAGTTTTACTTCAGTATTCATTTCAATGTGTGACAACGTGTTTGTTGCACCCCATTGCTCATTTCCTGCCTCTTCTCTGCCTTGATGGCAAATGCTCAGCACCTGCGCGCCACGCCCAAGTTCACCTTCAAAAGGAAGGCCACACTGTATCTTCCCTGGTCGGCAGCAGCTGACCTAACTGCCTACAAGCACAGGTTCACGACCAGGTATGAGACCAGCAATCCACTGCCAAGCAGTGGAAACTGGAGCAGGCGACGGGCTAGCAGAGAGAGCTGTGGGGTGCTCGTCCGGGGACACCTGGTGGTGTTACGGCAGAGGCTCGGAACAGCGCACTTCGACACTCGGTTGTTGGCTTGGTTTGGCCAGGAGGGGTGTCTGTCGGCCGACGGCCTGTACAGGTCCGATACCTCGGTGCTCCAATACTGCTCCTGTTCAAACTTTTCGGTGGGGCATGAGTCGGAATACGGGTGGTGGTGAAGGGGCCACAACACAGGTGGAGAGTAGGGGAACTGCTAAGAGGGACCGTGGGGATTTGTTACTGGATGCTGTGGTGGGGGATGAGTCGGTTAAGCTTCGTCGGATGGGTGGAGTTGATGCGTTGAGTTTGGTCGTTCGCTTGAGGGCTTCGGATGGGGTAGGATTTTCTTCCTCTAGTCCTCTTCGGTTGTCGAAGGAGATAAAGGAGAGAATTGGGGATGTGGTAGATGCTGTTTTGCCAGGTGGGGTTTTGTCAGTGGTTTGTCATGCAGA